CGTTCAGCATCCATGAAACCGTGTCAGGTTAACTTATAAGCTTAATAGGAGCGTAGCATTTCAGACCCTTCACAGTTCTTGACAATGCTGTCTCCTCTGTACCTAAAGGCAGCGATACAAGAATTTGGCCCTTTATGCCCTATCTCCCTGGGAAAAGAGGGGTGAGAGAAAAAGAGGATCTATTGATTGAATGTCCTCTGTTTGCCAAGCTGGACTGCGCTGAGGTGAGCTTTTCATCTATTAATTCATTTAATCTTCACAATAATCCTGGGAATAGGCATTATCCTACCCATTTTACAGATCAGGAATCCTAGGCTCAGTGAGGTGACGTGCCTCTCCAAGGTCACACGCAGGTACAGTGTAGGGGCAGGATTTAAACCTAGACCTGTGTCTGCTAAGAGAGCCCCTGATTCCTCTATTACACCGTTCTGGAAAGTCAGTCAGTTCTTCGTGTTGACTAGGTGCGCAGCCCAAGATAGCTTGGGAGATGCCTGCAAGCCTAAAATCATTTCTCTCCCCCGTCTGTTATCTGCCCTGTGATTTTGCCTAGTTCTACCCCTGGGTACACTCCTTTACTCCTAGTTTAACAGAGAACTTTTTACTTTTTTCATTTGATCTAGACTTCTACCTTCTCTTTTCTGGGACCCCTGCCTCCCACCGATATCATGCTGATTTCTTAGCCTTCATCTTCTTGATCCTGCCTATTGCCTTGTTTTATTTTATCCTATTTTTCCTACTCAGAAGGAAGGATGTGAAGCAATTTCTCTGATATCACAGAATCCATAACACTCTCCAGACTTCACAGTTCTAAAAAATCTTGTTTGGTTTTCAGATGTGACTGGAGTGATTTGCACCCGATGCTTAACTGGCCATCTGCTCAAAGGCTGCTCAGAAAGACATGGCCATGTGTTCTCCTGCCACAGACCAGTCTGCTCTGCCTGCAGCTGTGGGTTTCCAGGACCTTGTACCTATGTCACATTGTTTGAAGCTGAGCTTCAAGGAATCATAGGAGCATTTGCCTGGACCTACTACATAAGCTAAATACAGCATGAACTGACCTTGTCTTATAGGAAGTGGGTCAAGGAATGAGCCTCTCTTTTGTGCAGAGCTTGTTTACTTTCCAGTTAAGAGGGGAGAGCACCAGGCTGATGGCGTATACATGTGAGTACAAGGGAGACAGAGAAATGAGCAGCCCTTTGCATCGAGAAGGTTTGCTGAGGTCTTGGGCTTTAGAAAGTCGCTGTTAACTCCTCTCTCTGAGGCTTGATATCACTAGATAACCAAGTTCTTGTGGGAGCTTTCATGAGGGTTATAGTTCACTGATAAAAATAAATGTTGTAAAATAATCTAAATGCTTGACTGAGAATATACATGCTTCTTTAAGGAGTAGACTTAGTTTGGCAATAAACTTATATAGCTGACCTAACTCTAATTCTCTGGGGAAGAAAATTGCCACCTACCCCAGAACGCCATCCAAATACTCACAAGAATGGGCCAATTAGCGATTCATATTCTTAAACACTTATTAGCACTGCCCATACTCAGGCTAAGCAAATTTTGAAATAAAAAGAAAAGGATGAAGGGACATCGACCATGCTTTATGGAGCTCATAACCAAATTGAAGAGAAAGACAGTAATACTTGAAAAAGAAATAACCTACACCAGACTGTAGGTGAAAAGACACATATGAGCAGCAGAGATGATAACTAGGTGCTGCAGAAATTGTGAAAAAGTATCATTAGTCTCCTAGTTACCAAGACTCTAAATTGGGGTGACATCTTGAAAGCCCACACCTACCTCACTCCCACCCAGACACCTCCAAAATCCCTCTCACAGCCTCCTCTTTCTCCTTTCCATACCTAATGTCAGCACCTTACTTCAAGACTTTATCAATTTATATTTAAATTTTTAAAACTCGCATGTCTCCTTGCTGGCCTCTTCCCACTTTAATTCACATGGAGTACAAATTAAGCTCTGATCCTTTTCCTTCCCTATTTCCAAGTTGAAATGAAGTCAAAGTTTGAGGATCGGCATGAAAGAAGAATCCAGGTTTGAGATGATCTAGGCTTAGTTCTGGGAATGGTAACAGTGGAAGAGGGAAAGAAAGAAAGGAAACGAGAAGCAAGATTTGATGTTTGGAACGTAGGGGATGACAGCAAGTAGCATTACTAAGAACTATGGGCTTAAATCTAGAAGACCAGAAGGTGGGCAAAGGTCAAATATAGAGAAGAGCACGTTTCCAAGGAGAGATGCTGAAGTGAGGAGATTTGGGGCTTTAGTCATATCATCCACCACTTGGAATGCACCTAGTAGGACATAGGAGGTGTTCAATAGATGTTTGTTGAATGAATGAATAAAAGAATGAGTGAATAGCCCTCAATTTCATCATACCCATCGTATTTTATCTTTACAACAACTCTGTTTGGTGGTTCTTTTTATTATCTCCGTTTTTCTGATGTCTGAACCAAGGCTCAGAGAGGTGGTATGATTCCCCCAGGATCCCACAGTGATGAGTGGCAGTGCTTTAAGGTGAAGCCAGATCAGCATGAGTTTGCAATCCATCTGTCACATTGCCCTCTGGAAATATCTGAGTCCAGCACACATAGAACTGGGGTTGGGAAGACAGGTCATGATTAGCTGTGGGACTCGTTTACAAAAGGTGATTGTTCATAACTGAAGCCACGACCATGAATGAGACGCTAGAGGAATGTTGTGAATGTCTTTGACCTGAACAATGGGTAAGGCTGGCATTTCAGAGATAAGGAGAGGAAGAGGAACCCTTGAGAACAGCAGAGAAAATCAGAGGAGAACTAACGGAAGAAGAATCATGGAACCAAGAGAGAAAGGAGATTTGTCATAAATATAGGGTCCACAGTATCAAAAACTGCAGAAGTATCTTTGAAGGGAGCACGGTTTGAGGGAAAGGGAAGTACCTGGACCGTAGCAGATCACCTGGTTTAAAACCATCCTTTTGCTTTAACCTCGAGCAAGTTGCCTTAACCATACGGAATTTGTTGATTTATCAAATGGTCATCATATACGTTTGTCAGGATTAAATGAGCTCATGAAATAAAGGACCTAATACCAGGCTTGGCATCACAGAGCAGACAACAGCTGATATTTATGAGGCACCAGGTACTGATCCAAGCGTTCAATGTGTATCCATTCATTTAAGCCACATAACAACCCTGCTAGCTGGGTTCTGTTTTCATCAGCTTCAATTTGCAGATGAGGAGACACAGGCTTAGATAGTTTAAATAAATCCCTCAAGGTCACACAGCTTGTGAGTGGCAGCAGCTTGGATTTAAACCCAAGCATTCTGTTCTCAGAGCCTATGCTTTTAACCACCATGTTTGCTGAACTTCGTTGAGTAAATTACCAATAACTATTAGTTCCCTTCCCTTCAAGAACACGTGAGCTACATCAACTTTTTCAAGTAGGAAGATTAAAAGTATTTAAACTAGGGGTGAGCAGACAACATACCATAGGCCAAATATAGCTCATTGCCTCTTTGCGAGGCCCACAAGCTAAGAATGGTTTTTGTTTTCAAATGGTTGAAAAAAGTTTTTTAAATAATATTTTGAGACACGTGAAAATTATACAAAATTCAAATTTTAATTTCTACCAATAAAGTTTTATTGGAACACAAATATGTCCATTTACGTATCGTCTCTGCCACTTTTGTAAGAGCAAAACTGAATTGTTGCGAGAGAGACCCTACAGCCCCCTAACCCTGAAATATTTACTCTCTGATCCTTTACAGGAAAAGATTGCTGACCCCCTAATATAACCAAAAACTCTGTGGCGAATAAAGACAAGTGGATTTAAGGGCTTGAATTTCTCAGGAATGTTGTTGCCCTTCACCCCCGTTCTCAGACCCTCGATGGACTACTCCCGCACCTGCACTTCATTAGGAGATGGGGGTGGGGAGAAAAGAAATCTCCAACCCGGTAGTTTGTTGAATTTCTTGGGTGGAGGAGGAAGGAGGAAGGACGCTCGCTGCTGAGGGTGAAGGTGAGGCTTTCTTTTCAGTCCTGAATTACAGCCAGATGAGTTTATCCCTTTTTTGGCTGTGGAATGATAACTTTGGGGTTTTTTTTTTGTTTTTGCGGTACGCGGGCCTCTCACTGCTGCGGCCTCTCCCGTTGCGGAGCACAGGCTCCGGACGCGCAGGCTCAGCGGCCATGGCTCACGGCCCCAGCCGCTCCGCGGCATGTGGGATCTTCCCGGACTGGGGCACGAACCCGCGTCCCCCGCATCGGCAGGCGGACTCTCAACCACTGCGCCACCAGGGAAGCCCTGGAATGATAACTTTTTTTTTTTTGCGGTACACGGGCCTCTCACTGTTGTGGCCTCTCCCGTTGCGGAGCACAGGCTCCGGACGCGCAGGCTCAGCGGCCATGGCTCACGGGCCCAGCTGCTCCGCGGCATGTGGGATCCTCCCAGACCGGGGAACGAACCCGTGTGCCCTGCATCGGCAGGCGGACTCTCACCCACTGCGCCACCAGGGAAGCCCCCCACCCCCACCCCGGGATGATAACTTTTAATGCGCTTAGTAAGCGCAGGTGCTCAGCAGTCAGGGGAGGAGAGGCCGTAGCCAAGTCACATCACAGGTGTCTTCTCCCAAGGGCCAGGCCGTGAGCGGAAAAGCCTCCTGCTTAGACGCGTTCCAAGTGTCTACCTGCTCTTCACTGGGGAATGATAATGCCTCTTGGGCTTTTGCACAGGGCTGGGAGCCAGTTCACCTGGGTTCCATGTTGAGATTTCTCAGCAGATCTCCAGCGTGGTGGAACCAAGTGGATTCCTCTCTGTCTGCCTTGCTTAACATAATTAAACTGAAGTCAGATGTTTATCAGATTCTCCAGTGCGTTCATGCATCCAGCCTATAAGATAACCGGTAAACAAGAGGGTAATAACGGCAGGGATATGCCTGCTTGTTTTCTTTTTTTTTAATTTTCTAAAATTGTGGTAAAATATATATAACATAACATTTACCATTTTAAACATGTTTAAGGGAACAGTCCTGTGACATTAAGTATATTCACATTGTTGTGCAGCCTTCACCACCATCCATCTCCAGAACTCTTTCGTCTTCCCCAGCTGAAACTCTGCTGCCGCTGAACAGTAACTCCCCATTTTCCCTCCCTCCAAAGACCAACAACTACCTCTATGAATTAGACTTCTCCAGGGATCTCAGGTAAGTGGAACCATACAGTACTTTTCCTTTTGCGTCTGGCTTATTTCACTTAGAATGATGTCTTTAACGTTCATCCATGTTGTAGCCCATGTCAGAATTTCCTTCCTTTTTAAGGCTGAATAGTATTTGATTTATGTAATTTTGTTTATCCATTCACCTGTTGATGGGCACTAGTTTTTTTTCTACCTTGTTTCTGTTGTGAATAATGTTGCTATGAACATGGGCATACAAATATCTGTTCAAGTCTCTGATTTCACTTCTTTTGGATATATATCGCAAAGTGGAATTGTTGGGTCACATGATAACTGTTTTTAATTTTGGGAGGGACAACCATACTGTGTTTCATAGTGCCTGGACCATTTTGCATTCCCACCAGCTGTGCATAATGGTTCCAATTTCCCCACCTCCTTGCCAATACTTGTTATTTTCTCTTGTGGTTTTTGTGTTTGTTTGTTTAGTAGTAACCATTCTGATGGATGTGAAGTGGTATCTCGTGGTTTGGATTTGTGTTTTCCTAGTGATGTTAAGCATCTTCTCATGTGCTTATTGGCTAATTGGTGTCTCCTTCAGAGAAATGTCTGTTCAGGTCATTGCCCATTTTTGATTTGGATTGTTTGTTTTTGGTGGTTGTTGAGTTGTAGGTGTTCTTTCTATATTCTAGATGTTAACCCTTTATCAGATGTATGATTTGCAAATATTTTTTCCTATTCCATGGGTTGCCTTTTCCCTCTGTTGATAGTGTCGTCTGATGCACAAAATGTTTTGATTTTGATGTAATTGCTGGTTTTTTTTTTTTTTTTTTGCTGTTGCCTGTGTTTTTGGTGTCACACCCAAGATATTGTTGCCAAATCCAATGTTGGGAAGAGTTTCTCCTATGTTTACTTTGAGAGTTTTATAGTTTTACCTTTTACATTTAGGTCTTTATTCCATCTTGGATTAATTTTTGTGTATGGTATAAGGTAAGTGTTTGACTTCATTCTTTTGCACATGGATATCCAGTTTTCCCAACATCATTTGTTGAAAAGACTGTCCTTTCCCCACTGAATGGTCTTGGCACCCTTATCAAAAATCTTTGACCATATATGTAAGGGTTTATTTCTGAGTTGGCTTGAGTTTTGATATTAGCAGATATGCCTCTCAAATCAAGACCCAAGTTGTATAAACTCTCCATAGACGATCTAAGAGCCAATGCATTCATGCTATTAGAACATCAGTGATAGCCCATCTCAAGCTAGAGTTTCAAATGCATGAATCTGTATCACCACAGTTTGTGAGTTCCCAGAGAGCAGGAACTCTCTTATAACTCAAATTTAAACTTAATCTATATGTTTTGTCCATTATGTGTCCAGCATCATGATAGCAGTAAGGATGCAGACACTTGTATTTAAGAGCTTGCAAATTAGCGGAGAAATAAACATGCAAACATATGAATGTCTTTTTGTGAGAAGAATACTCCAGAAGGTAAAGTAGGGGTACAAAGATGGAAGTGGTGACATCTAGTTGGAGAGGAGAGATAACTTTCTCAGAAGTGGTCACACTTGTGCTGAGTTTTGAAGGATGATTAAGAGTTTTGCCTAACAAAAACGGCAGAGGTCATCAGGACATTCAAAATGGAGGAACCACACCTGCAGACTTGGAGGGGGACTGCAGTATGGTCGTTGGAGGACTAGCACATATATTACAAGGCCAGGAGGAGTGGGAGAAGAGCCTAGAGGGGTAGGCAGGAGACAGGTCCCAGAACTTGAACTTTATTTTGAGTGTGATTGGAAGGATTTACATGTCTATCCCTTAGATTAGTCCTTAGCACTTATCATTGTTTATTGAACTGATTTTAGTCCAGTACAACAATGATATATGTTTCTTTTCCTTCTCAAACATCATCTCTTCTTCTTCTTTTCTTTCCTTTTTTTTTTTTTTTTTCCTCTCTTTCTAATATGATTTTGATGGCTTTGCTACTTTTCCTCGGCTCAGTATCTCAACTACCAAAGGACATAAACTACACTGGGGCATGAATTTAGACAAAAACAACAACAAAAAAAGTGAACTCATAAGAGAAAACATTGAAACCACCTAGGTTAGGCTCAGTTGAACTTCCAAATGTGTTTTAAATTAGGTCGTCTCAACCATGACTACAAGTTTGAAACATTCAAAGCAACCTTATTGGAATTGGAACAAGGCATATTTGGTTTCCTCTAAAGGATTTTAAAAAAAGTGGAGTTAAGAGCAGAGATCCCAAATGTAAAACTACGTGAAAAGAAAGCCCATAAGCAAATTGTCTTCATAACAAATGGCATTAAAACTTCCAAACTATCAAAAGTTGTGATCTCTTAGGAACATCTCACTCAGAGGAACAATGCCTATGCCACACCCTCATTTATCTGGGCAGGGCCAATCAGATGCAAGTGAGCGGAGGAAGCATTTGGAACCATCGAAACAGATGTGAGGGGTCCAGAAACTCAGATACGTTTTGCTCTTATTTTATACAAGCAAACTTGGTTGCCTAGTTTCTTTATACAAGCAAACTTGGTTGCCTAGTTTCTTTATACAAGCAAACTTGGTTGCCTAGTTTCTTAAGAGGACAGAATATGAACAGTAAGGTATAAGGTCACCAAAAGATAGGTGTCTAGAAACAGGTCCAAGGATTCTTTTGGGGAAAAAAAATACTGTTGGTTTGACAAAGAGAAGATAGAAAAAAATTTGAAAGTAAAAATCTACAAACTCTAAAAAGAAAACCCACATACAACACATAAAGCATCCTTGGATTATTTAATAAGGAAATAGAGGCCTACCCCCGCCTCAGCAGCCTCCAATGCATCTCCAAAGGAAGGAACAGAATCAAAGTTAATGTTCAGAATGATTCCTTCGTTCCCATATAGCTATATTGATACTTCAAACGTTTAGGCCTGCAAAGTAGTACAGATGAGCTATTCTGGAAAATTTACTTCTGCAGAAATAACGGTATCTCATTCTGCGATGATGCTAGTTAAATGAAGCATCAGACCACCTCACCTAATGTTAGCATAATTTCCTACTTAAATAGCAAGCCTTTATCGTCAGAGAGCTTATATAATTGTCCCATATACTAAATATGATCTTAGTCAAGACCATCTCCTTATCTGTGAAATGATAATAATGATACTAAGTATTATCAGAGATCTGTTTTGAGGGCAAAAAGAGATAATGTATGGTATCTAGCATTTTACATAGTCAATACTTCATAAATGTTAAATACTGCTACTACTACTACTGCAACGAATGTTGATCTTATAACTAGGACTGTACCTGGGTTCCTAGCCTAACTCCACCATTTATGAGCTATAAGATCTTGGGAGAGGTACTTTACTTCTTTCTGCTTCAATTGTTTCATCTGGAAAATGAAAACAAGGCTATATCATATCTACCTCAGGGGGTTGCTACAAGGATTAAATGAGATACTATATGAAAAACACTTCAGTTAGGGCCAGGCACGGAGTAAGGATTTAAGTACTATTAGCTGTAATTATTACTGCTGTTGTTGTTATCCTCCATTTTGCTTGTAAGGATGGTAGTTCTCAAAGAGTGGTTTGGGGACCCCTGGTGGTCCCTTTTGCAGGCAGCCCAAGCGGTCCAAACTGTTGTGTGTCTTTTTCACTCCTTGAATGTACAGTGGAGTTTACCCAAGATGACATGAAGTGTGATATCACCATAGGTTGAATGCAGTTGCACATTTGAGACGCTAGCTGTCTTCTATTAAATAATAGAGATTTGCAAAACTGTAAAACAATGCTATTCTCTCTCTATTTTTTTGTAAAATAGTTATTTTTCCAAAATTATGTTTTATGGTAGCCTATGATGGGTTTATTGCTGTTATTTTAAAATGAATCAATTTTAATGCTTAATTTTAATTTCTAATATGGTAAATATCAAAATATATAATCCACATAAAGGAAAATTCTTTGGGGCTCTCAATAATTTTAAGACTGTAAAGGGGTCTTGATACAGAAAAGTTTGAGAACCACTATCTTAGTACATAAAGCTTCAGAGTTGTTGACATCCTTCAAGGTCACTTTCTTGAGATTTGAGTAGAGGTAGAGTCAAGTCTCAACCAAAGTTTACTGATAATGAAACCTGTTGATCATTATAATACATCACACTCCAAGGGTCATGGAGCTCCTACATGGGGAGAGGGCCAATGGTCATTACAATGCTTTTATAGTTGAGTATGGTTGCAGGGTTCTGTGTGGTCAACTTAGCAAGACTCTACTCTAGACATGGTATTCAAAGCTAATATATGTTTTCCAGTATCTTAAATTTTATTCACGTGGCCAACCACTGCAGCACTGAATTCACATACAGTTCTTGCCTGGTGATTAAGAGGAGGCACCTAGTGTTAATACTCTTGAGTTGTAGCTTTAGAGCCCAAACTGATTCCCATCACAGGTTTTCAATCTCAAGTGTCAGGCAAGAATTCTCACCCGTTTGTAAGCCACTTTAAATACGGTTCTCAGGAGTTCAAGAACTAATCCCTGAAGAAACTGGGTCAAGTTCTTCCCAGTCCCGTCCCCATACCACAGATAGCTAAGCTTCAGTCTTAAGGAAATACTTTGGGACACCAGGGCATACTTAAAGGAGGGAAAATAAACAGGACAGACTTCCAGAGAAAAGACATATGTGACCTCTCTTCCAATAAGCATTTGATACTCGAGTGTATTTCACTGGAACAAGTTGGTTTAAGTATGTACTATTCTGACTTTGGGTTTCCAGCATTGTCTTGATGCAAAGTTGACACCTGCTGTGTTGTTTAAGACCTTTGTCTCAGAGGCTTCAGATTTTTTCACACATATACACACGCATATACAATGCATTTGGTTGGGTTGGATTGAAATCTTCAGTAGTAATTCAAAGAGTTTGGCTTCCGGGGTAATGTCACAGGTTTGCATGCATTATGCAGAATTTTCTGCTAAGTGCAATAGGCCCTTGGAAATTGAATTGGTTGATTTCAATCCAATGCTTATTTGACATAAATGTCACATTTATGCTGAAGAGTCATATCATTCTTCTATTTCTGCTCCAATAATGTTAATTCTTAAAGTGTTACCCTACATAGGCTATGACTACACGGTGCCAAATATCCATCTGGAGGTAAGAAACCTTTATTTTATTATCCCAATGTTCCTAAATCTAATATTTGATAGGATGGAGTTAAATTACCTGGATGTCTAACTATTTTCATTTGTGGCTGGATGCTGCAGTGTTGTAGAGGAAGAAGTAATATGAAATGAAAACCATTTTGATCGAACTATATGACACCTCAGAAATAAACAACCCTCCTCCAATATTTTGCTCAATTGAATAATCTCAACCAAATGTTATCAGATCAGTTTGTGTGTGGAACACAATGTGCCAAACAAAATAAATTGACTATTTTACTGTTGAAATAATGTGAAAGGAGCGTGGGGCTCGGGGAAACAAGCACGAGATATACTGGGCAAGGCAAAGGAGGTTCAATTCTCTCCTCCTCCTCCAAGGAGGGTCTGACCAGAGCTGGCTATCTCCAGCGACAGAACAGGGACACTGGTACTCTTATCTTTGACTCTACAGAGGATGCTTCTCTTGTGATGCCTTCAACCCAGCCAGCCCTGTGGTTTTGGAAGAGAGGCATACAAGGTAGTTCTAACTACTGACTTATAGGGAAGGATTCTCCCTCCCTCAGTTTTCCAGCCAGTGTCTCGGCACGTACTGGAAACACTCCAGGCTTTAGGGATGACCCATTCATTGACTCTTCATCACGACCTTAACCTAAGACTTGGAAATTCAGGCAGCAGACCACCACACCATCCACAGTCTACTACTGCTGGATGCTGGCTTATCTTGTCCTAGAGAAGTACCTAACTGAGGTATTTCCTGGGACACAAGACTACACAGCACAGGCTGACCAGTAGGAGAATAATCCTGTAAAAGTTGTCCAGACTCGAGATAACACCGTCAAAGTTGTTGAGGCATTTAAATATTCTGAGATTTTCATTTAATTCCATTTGTAGCCTGCTTAGAGTTTGACTTCATATTCCCCTTCTCTAATCAGATCTACAATATTCAAGTGGACGTTCAAGGTTAGCCATTTTCTGATAAATCTGGGGAAAAAAAGTGAAGCCATATCATGTTTCCAAGCTCTATTCTCCACTAGCCGGGCCACCTGAGCCACAAAGTGGGTTTGGCCTCATGACCCCATTAAATAATTTATGTCTGGGTAGTCTTGGTCTTTGTCTCAAATAGGTGAAAATAGAAATATAGATGGAGCTTTTCAGGTAAACAGTTCTGGTACATTTGCCAAAAATGAACATACTTATTCAGACCTCGCTAATGAAATTGAAAGACGGACGTGTTGTACACTTATGCAATTTAGTTAAACAAATAAACCATTTAATCCGTATTTCTTGGGTGCCCACTATGTGTTAATTTTTGAAAACTATAGTTAAGTAAAAAACGTATTTTAAGGCACTCACAGTCTAAGTAAAAGATACAAAAGTAAACATAATTTCCTATCCGTGTAGTTTATTACCTGAGATACAGGTATGCGCAGCATGCCTTGGGAACGCGGAGGGCGACGAGAATTTCCTCATTATCATTACCATTAACAAGCGCCATATACATATTGTACCCAGCAGAAATACACTAAGAATTCCAGGAGCTGCCTTGTTCCGTCCTAATTCTCCATTGCCAAGGCTGCAATGATTAATCTTTAGAAAAGCTACAGTTTAACACCTGTTGAATGATATTAGGGAAAATCATCTGTGTTGCAAATAAAGAATATGTTAGGGAGGCTGGACTCAAATGGATCCAGGTTTTGATATCTTTCTCCTTCTGTTTTAGCAGACAAATAATCTGTTGCAACTTTGCTGCTTCTCTTCCCTAGCTTGGCTCTGTTCCCGTGCACCATTTTGTTCTAGGGGGATGCCTAAACTGATTCTGCAGCGTTAGCCAAAACAAATGAGGAGCTTGGCTCTGGGTCTGGTCGCAGCAGCTGCTGTGATTGAAGTTCTCTGCACCTAAGACAGTGGGGCAGCTTTCCGTTTGACAGATGAACACATTTTCATTACTAGGGAAACAGGAAGCATGGCATACTGGGCAAGAAGAAAAAAAAAGGAAAAAAGAAAGAAAGAAATATTTGGGAAGTCGCTTTGTTCTTTCTTATATCAATCATGGTTATTGTTCAGCTGAAATGTTGGTGAGGAGGTTGACCGAGTGGGAGCCTCATACCCAAGCCTCAGGCTTCTCTTCCCCCCAGACTGTAACTGTGAGCTGACAGCTGCGTGGTTTCCTGACCTCAGGTTGCCTCAGCCAGAAAATTCCTTTGCAGATCTGCTCTGAGAGGCTGTTTCTGTTCATGCATGCAGCACAGGGCAGGGAGAGGCCAGGAGGTCTAGGGGAACCCACATGTAAAGGAAAGGAAAAGAAACATTTGGCTGTTTCCATTAATTCAGTCATACAATGGAGCTGAACTGTCAAGTGAGTATTTGAAGGCCTTCAAAATAGCTACTCGAGACTTCCATGGTGATCTGGAAGCTTGTGAGTGACTCAGCGGCAGGGGGACTGGATACAGGTTCTTGAGAGAATAGAGCACATTTCTAGTAGGGCAACCTTGTGACAGCCTTTCCTTTATCATTTCATACTCAGATTCCTTTTATCAAAATGGTAGCCTTGGGAGGCATCCTTGATCCCCAGGCTTTATGTGTTGAGTCTCTAGGTAAAGGTTAGTACCATCCTGTGGTATAGAAATCCAAAAAGCAGAGGAAAATATGGGAAGGAGAGCAGAAGACGATGGTAAGAAAATACATAAATCTAAGGGGTGAAGTTGCACATGAAATGGCAAAAATTTAAGTATTAGGGGATGTCTTCAGGAAGGAGAGGAGTCTAGAGTCCTCACAGACACATGATTGCTGAACCCTCGTTTACAATGATCACTAGACCAAGAACGTCCTGGCTACCGTGGAATCTGTTGAAGAAATTGGATGTCAGTCAAGGCAGCTAACATATGTTGATCAACTACTATTTGTCAGACACTGTGCTTGGTGCTTTATACAATGACGTGCCTACCACAGCACATAATGTAGGCATTTGATACTTTGTTATATACATTAAAGAAGCTGAGACTTGGGCTGTCCTAGGTCGCGTGGTTAAGTGATGAAGCAAGACTTCCAGCCCAGTTCTGTGTGCCTTCAAAGCCATCTTGGAGTTTTGAAAGGTTCTTCTACCCACATACCCAAGCCCTATTTCTCCTACAGCCTTGATAACCTGTAGTATTCTTTCCTGCTTGGCCTGGACAAAGTCACCGATCTCTCTACACATGACACCAGGCTGCTGGGAATTGATGGGAATTGGCACACAAGATGAATCCTATTTGCAGTCCTTGTGCCTTTACCAATGGGCCGGGGTGGGAGGAGGGGAACCGGTTCTGCTCTCCTATTCATTTACCAAAGATTTCCAGTATAGCAGTCCATGCACTGGACTTCTGCGTTCATGACCTTAATCAGTGGGTTCCTTAAGGACTCACGAGGACTCTTACTTTTGCATCCTTGTCACATGACATGCATAATGCTTTGTCTCTGGTCTTCAAGCTAAGGACTCACACTTGCTCATCTAAAAGATCAAATCCCTTCCTATTTATCATTCTATGTTCATAAAAGCATTTGCTGAAGGCCTATTAGTGGCGGTGCCTCTGATGCCAGAAAGGTTAGGGAACTTAGTCAAGGTTCTGCAGTAAGTTACAAAACCAAGCAAAAACTCCAACTTTTCTGTTCCCCAGTGAACTTCTTACAGATCAAGATTTTAAAAATCGCATATCATAGAGCTGTAAATTTCAGTTAAAGCTTCCTACGATCCCTTAGGTTTTTTTCCCCCCAAGCCAATCAAAGTTTAATTGTTCTTATAATAGTACTATATCTAAAATAAGCTTCTGATAGGCTTTTTTTCTTCTTATTTTAGTTTCTTTCTTCTTGTCTCTAAATTACCCTTTTATCTTTGCTCTTGAAAATGAATTTGTTCCCAAGTGCAACCAAGGGCATTTTGTGAGGAAAGATATGTGCAAATGTTGCTGCTTCCTATAAGCAGAAAAGTTATATGTATGAATTACTAAGCTTCTCAGGTTTAGTTTCCTCATTAGTGGTATGAGATATCAGTGCCCACCTCTTAGGGTCGTTGTGGGAATTAAACTAATTATTTTATATAAAGCATCTAACAACATGCCAAACACATAGTAGGCATTTAGCAAATATTAGTCTCTATTATTGTTAATATTGATGTGAATTGTGTAAGGAATGACATAAAAAGGATAAAGAAACGTACTACCTCCATAACTTCTAAACCTAACTACATTATTATTTTTGTACCTATGATTTCCTTTTACTATAGATTATTGATTACAGGCTAGGTTTGATTTGATATCTATCTAAAATCCACCTATCTGTCTATAATTGGGCGAGTCAGGGTCAACTATTGTGCCTGCCACGCCCACAGCCTTTTCTCAGGGAGACCACAGCTCTTCCTGAAGGAGCATCCTGGACAGCCATATTCTCAACCCAGTGTTCTTGTATCCAGGTTCCCCAAGTCCGATTAACTGACTTGAAGGTAAGCAATGCATAGGTCAGCAAGTGGCCTGAGAAATCTCTCTCTACTCGGGAATGAGCTAAGCTAATAAGATCCTCTCAACTCTGCAGTTAGTCTTGGGAGTTGTGGAGAAGATTAAGCTTTTAACAGTAAGAGCTGAATTCTGAAAGGAGACACAGAGAGAGCTCATGAAGTAGAGTGAGGCCATACCCTGGAGTTGTGAGCAAACGGAGACTAAAATTTAGCGGAAGCACTTGCTACTTATGACGACCGACAACCGTCTCTCCATGGCCTCCAGTTAAAAATTCTGTGCACCTGTGTCCCCCTGGTCCCAACAGTGAGGCTCCTCTTGGGTGGCTTTGAATTCCCAGCCGCTTCTCTCATGCCATGTTTTGTTTGGAGGGACTCAGAGCTATTCTCAGACCCACCTGTTGATTTGCTTCAGTGGTCACTGCTCTATCACTCAAATGCCATGATGGACCTGGAATTTCTCTACGAAGTGTGCAGTCACCCAGACTGCATAGGGCAAATTAGAAAATGATGCCTTCTGTTTTGGAATCAGAACAGCTTGTCTGCATGTCTGGTATTTCTGTCAGGGATTCTATTATTCCTGTTATTTCCGACCACAGCTGGGACATGGGCTACTTCTCAGGGACTGAAGAGCATGCCTGTTAATCCACCCTTTCTTCCTTCTTTGATCAAACTCTTCTCAGCTAATGACTCCTAGTGTCTTCACATAGTCTTCCTTACTCTCTAGCTTATGGTATGTATAACTGTAGGGTTTTGTTTGTTTGTTTGTTAGTGGTTGCCTTCAAGTTTACGATGTGCATTTATAACTAATGCAAATCCACTTTCAAATAATACTGTACTCCTTCATGGGTAGTGCAAGTACCTTATAACAGAGTATTCTTAATTTTTTCCTCCTGTCCCTTATAGTATTGCTGTCGTTTATTTCACTTATAGGTACACTATAATCTCCAAACACATTAACACTATCATTATTTTGAACAAACTGTTATCTGTTAGATCAATTAAGAATAAGAAAAATAAAAGATTTTATTTTAACTTCATTTAGTCTTTCCCTGATATTTTTCTCTTCTTTACATAGGTCCAAGTTTCTGACCTCTATCCTTTTTCCCCTCTCTGAAGAATTTCTTTTAACATATCTTACAAGGCAGATCTACTGGCAACAAATTACCTAAATTTTGGTTTGTCTGAGAAAGTCTTTATTTCTCCTTTACTTCTGGATAATTTTACTAGACACAGAATTCTTGTTGGTGGGCTTTTTTCTTTTAACACTTTAAATATCTCACTTTACTTGCTTCTTGCTTGTTTGATTTGTGAAGAGAAGTCTCATGTACTTCTTATCCACTTTTCCTCTATAAGTGAGGTGAAGTTTTTTCCTCTCTGATTCTTTTTATTATTTTCCCTCCCTGCCCCAACCCCCCGCAATCCCACCCATCTAGATCATAACAGAGCACCAAGCTGAGCTCCCTGTGCTATACAGCAAGTTCCCACTAGCTATCTGTTTTACACATGGTAGTGTAATTATGTCAAAGCTAACCTCCCAATTCATGCCACCCTCCCCTTCCCCCCACCCCATGTCCATACGTCTGTTCTGTATGTCTGTGTTTC